GAATGACGTCACCCAAGCCTCACTAAGAGAGAAATTTCAGCGTTTTCGATTCATTCGTGGTCATATTTTTTATGGGTCACGTTTACATTTGAAATAATCATATATATTTTTATCAAATGGAGATCCAATGGAACTGGTTATGTTCAGTGGAAGTATTTAAAAATGTTGTAACATTAATGATTTTGAAATATTGTCTATCGCAAAGATACGAAAGATAAACTCATTAAAAATCGAAAACACAAACATTTGGTGATGTACGTTATAACGTTATACGCATGGACACGAACTTTTATTATACGTCGTACATACGGGGCGCGGCGACTGACGAGGTAGAAAAATCGGAATTATTATTATTAGGTATTGTTTTTGTCTTAACGACCTTAAACTATATCTCGGGTCACGTACACGCCCTAGTGAAATGGATTTCCTGGCAAACGTCAGATGGATTCTTATGTAATTACATTATTATAGTTATTATTAAAACTTCGCATGTTTTTTTAAGCGTACATAAAACGTACCCCACAATCAATCGACAAATCGATTAAGCAAGCGTCCCGCGTGTTGTTTCAGTCGTAAAAAATGAACCACCATTAAAAACAATCGTGTGCGATCCCGACCGGAAACAGCAGTAATACGTTTCCGACGTGTTCGTGATTGCGCGCTACGGGAAAAATAATAAAACTATTTTTCATAGGCGCCCGCCAAATCGTAGGCAAAATCATAGCCGACCGATGTCGGTAGATAATTTTCATGGATCAATCAATATATATTCCCAATCGATAAAACCTTATTTTTGGGCACATGTCCAGTGAAAATGTGTGTTTTACGATAGAAAGAGCAAATTTCTCGGACGAATAATACGCATTACCGATTTCATAATCAAATGGTGTAAAATAAATAATGTAGCTACTATACGACACGAAAAACGATTCCAAGTACCCACGATTTCAATATTTTCGGTTCGCAGACGCAATACGATATCCGACTCGGTGACCTGCACGGGCGTTAACGTTATATTACGGTTAACTCGAATGTATGTTGTAACGTTAACGAGTTGCACTCCCGGGTATACGTAGCTGCACTGACCGTGTACAAAACGTACCGGTCGGATATTTTTTTTTTTTTTTGTATACACCGCCCAAGTGTATACATTCACTACAAACGGGTTGGATGAAAAAGCGGAGTGAATTGATAGCGTGAACGACGGGCTGGCAGTGGGGGAAGACGGGGTGAAAGATTACGAGATAATTTAACGTGACTATAATTTTAACGACAGTATTGCGCACCACTGACTCGTAAACCGTGTTCAAAGAGGCATGATTTGTTGAATGAATTGCAACGCGAGACACTTACTAATACTGTGCAGTACGAGTCGGACGAAGATGTGCAACAGATTTGGTGGTAGAGAAATATTGAATTTAAAAAATGAATGCGATAACGCAATGTATTTTGTACCGTTAGCGGTAATAGTACGTCTAGTGCGCATTGCGTTATTTTTGTTTTTTTGTTTTCTTTTTTTTTTTACTTTCACCACAAAACACTTGTAATTTCTTTATTCGTCGGTTTTTATCGATAAAAATGAAAGTAAAAATGATATCACTAAAAAAAAAAAAAAATTTATTTTTATGTTTTCACAGTGAAAGTGTATATTTTGGATTCTAAAAATTTGCTGCGACGCGACTTTCAGTACAGATATATAAAACTCCAAATAATCTGATAAAGAAATAAAATCAAAATACAATCGTGTACCCAACCGAAACTCGCTAATCACTCAAAATCCAAAAGATAATGCCGAATTTCAAGTTGCTACCAATTTTAATTTATTTCATACTATTTTAATACATTTTATAATATCAATTATTAAAAATTATGGTATTGACATTTAAATATATATATTTTTTTTAAATAACCGACGGCGCGATATGTAGGCAAAAGTAGTACATAACTGTGATGGTGGCCATAATTTCTTCTCGCAAGGAATTCGTTTGAATAATAAAATTAAATACTGTTATTTAGTATAATATATAATACATAAATAATGATATTATTATCATATGGCATTTTCGGTTTACTGATCCGATCAAAATATAATCCACGAGATTAATGCAACGCAAATATAATTACGGATTCTTCATAAATCGTTGGTTCGATATATTTAACGAAAACCGTCATACGAGAGATAAATTTTTCACGTTTCATTGTAATTATTCCGGATCGGAAACCAACGGAAAACATTTTCCATGTCCGCAATTCTGGATCTCAAAGTTTTCATAAACGTTCCCATGACACGGTACAGCAGTAGCATAACTATTAGCAGTAGTCGTAGCAGTCCGCACATAAACTTTGCTCGCAAATCTTCAGCCGAGCGTGTTCGTTTTATTTTTATCAGTCTTTCCGCGCGTTCAAGCACCGTACACGGAGTATTATAATTATTTCGACACGGACACCTGTGAAATCCCGGACCACCATTTATTATTACGTGTTCGACGCAGCGTAAAAATCAGTCGTTCGCTAATCACCGTACAGTGACCGGTGGCGGTAGTCGAACAAAAATTATTATTATAATATCGTATTTTGACGCGCGCTCGTGGCCGGAGGTATTCGCGATCGAATGGTTCGCGCGGAATTTTTTAGCACGACCGCAACGACGGGTGGAGGTCGTTGATTTATGTCTACGGTCCGATTCCGATGAACCGGGGAAGAGATGGCGAGGAAGAAAAAGCTTCGTATTCGATATTTAATAATGAAAAACTCGTAGACATTCCGACGTTTAAGCGTCCGCCAACGCCGTTCGCGTATACCGGGCGTGGGTTTTTATTTTTTCCCATGCCTACGCCCGGGGTGCATGTAGATGGGGCGTGTGATGCACGTCGACCGGAGCTGTTGGTGCGCGTTGAATTATTGAAATTTCGTCGAGACAGGTCAATTTAATATACATGAAACGCGCCACGTGGGCGGCGAGCGGCATCGTACTCGTTTCGATAAATACGCGCACGCGAGAGACGTTCAATTAATTATTTTAACACGCACGTTATATTATACGCCGAAGGACGTGAATTATTTATGCAACGCCAACGAATTTCAAATGCTTTAATTAATAAAGAAATAACTGTACGCGAGTATCGCCCGCGCGCGCACGATAATATTACGCAGGACGATGTGTACATGCATATACAAATATATACATATATATATATATTTGCCGGAGCGAGTTCAACAAGTATATATTTAAATGTATTATTTTATATAAAATATTTAGAAACACAACGAACAATGTTTTATACGGAACGGAATAGTAATATTAATAAAAAAAAAAAGCTATTTTTTTAGATTTCCTACGACTCGCTTTTTCGTTCCCCAGCCAACGGTTTTCTAAAACGGCGGGACCCAAGATTTCGCCGTACTCCTTTCGTACCTTGTATTCAGTACTACATGAAAACTCGAATCGAAGTGACGCCATACGTCGATATATTCACGATATTAAAAATAGTATTTACGTTACGTGTCAAAAATATACATATTTCTGTTATACCGATGTTAAAATAAAATATGATGATCACGTTGCACCGAATGGCTCGGAAACGAAACATTATCGACCACTGTAAAAGTGGCGTATTTTAATGTGGAACACTATACCAGATTCAAGCGGCTTAGAGCGATTGCAGTTTATGAAAAAAAAAAAATAAATAAATAAAAAATGAAAAACGATTATTACTAAAGACAGGTAATTGAGGTGAGCTGGGTGCATGGTGAGAAGTGCTGGCATATAAATATTTGTGGTTGTGGCAAAGTGGTTAGCAATTTTCACAACCACAAAATAGTTTTGATTTTAGCATATCTTTGGTTATATCTAACCACCGAAATGTGATATATTATTAATTTTACACAGTATCCGTTCCGCGTTACGGAAGTTAATGGATCTAAAACGGTAAGATAAGTAATGCGATGTCACTCTAAATATCAAACGATTACGATTATACAAGCTTAAATCGTATCAAATTATTATTATTATTTTTTGTCGAACACTATTAGCGAATAAAATGTCACGGCCTTTTTTTTTTTTTTTTCATGTTACAATGTTATATGACTCGTTTATTATCTTTATCGTTATTATTGTTATACCTTATGCGACTATTTTTCGAATAGATTGATGTGGTTTATCCGCCAACATACCAATATCGGTGTATTATTGACGACGAGTTGCGTATAATAAGCCGTACGGACAATCGAACGGTAATAAGATCTACCACGGGCTGACTTACATTTTGCACGTAAAAGACTGTAAATGTAAAAGTTCTCTCTGGGAAGGTCGGATGTTTTTATATGGTGAACAATGGTGCAATATCCGGAGTATTCCGGTATTGTATCGGCCCCTGCACGTGCATACCGCATTAGTTTGAGTACTCCAGCATTGTACCATTTGTCAAATCGTTCGATCCGATTCCCTTTATTTCCGTTCAAGTCCGTCCCGTCCTCGCGATTCCGTTCGAAATCCGTTGTAATTTTTATTATTATCATTATGTATACATTGTGTCATTGAGACGAATCTACATTTGTTACAAAATAAACCGCAACGTCATTGCGACAGTTTTTATCATAATTATTATTATTATATCGAATTCTTCAATCACGAATAACGATTATCGACGGACTGAATAACAGTAAGCTTTTATAAAATTAAAAAAAAAAAAAATATGTTGCTAGTCACACAACGGATCACTAGCGTTATACACGTTGACCCGTGTCACGTAAATGAAGTTACCCGTCTTTAACGTGGTATAAAATATTGCGAGATAACTTCACAAGACAACTGTGATCCCGAAGCCAGAAGTATGCCCGCCATCGAACATTATTGATTATCCCCTCAAAAGAAACCCGAGAAAAGTACCGTCGCAGTACTAAGCTCTAAATCCATAGCCGGCTGATGTTTGGACCAGTTTCGGGACGGTTAACATGAAATACGAACAACAATACAACAAAGGAGGACCGTACACACTTACCCTTGTCTCCAGAATTGCATCCGCCGATAACCGCGTGCGTCGAAGTCGCCGTGGCAGTTGACGACCTGCCGCCGCCGCGGTGCCCGGAGGAGCTGGAAGTCCTGAGTTTGGCATTCAAATCTTTCTGCTGCAGCGGATCATGCGCGTTACCGCCCCGCTCGATCACGTAGTCGATTAGACTATACGTGGCAGCGGTGGCCGTAGAAGTGGCCACAGCAGCGGCGGTGGCAGTCTGGGCGGCCGCGGCCGAACGTCCTGGTCCCACGAGGGCGTCGGCCGGCGTGTTCTCTGCGTCCGATGAGTACTCGGAGGCCGGAGGCGTCAGCGGTCCGGTCGACACAGCAGCGGATACGTAGACGAACTGGGGCGACAGTGGCGCACCGTCACTGCTCCTCGAGGTCTGCAGGGGCGTCTCGGGCGGTGTTGGCGCGGCCAACGTGACAACGCTCGGCGGTGGAAGCGGTGGCAACGATCTACGAGACATGAGAAAATGCGTTCAACTTATTAACTTACTTACGAGTGAATAATTAAGATAATATTTGTCTAAATGGCCGTATGCTACGGTATATTATAACGACTGTGATTAAATAAATCACTTAAGATCTGAAGGGGGATGTTACTGACTGGGGTTGCGATACGAAGCATCTTAAAATGTAACTTTTTAGCTGTATAATGTTTTTTTGAGAGGTTCACGAACAGTATTTTTTTTTTTTTACTTTTTAACTTTTAACGACATTTATTATCTTTAGCCGTATTTACGAATAAAACTGTGTAATATATAAAACATAAAATATTGTTATACCAGTGCACTATATAATTCATTTTTACGTCTTAAACGATCTGCTTTTGAAATTTTATTGACAATCGAAAGTCCGTGATCTTAAAAATCGAAATATCGACACGGTTTACGACGTACGCAAACACGTTTTACAGCGATCTGTCCATCAAACTAATGCTCTCAGTTTACAATTTTCCATGTTGCAACTCACACTCGAGGTTTTGTGGAAACTTTAATTACGACGTATCTAATAACTACAAACTTAGATTATGTAACTAAGTAGAAAATTAAACACTTAAATATGGTAATAATACAGATTAAATGCAATAACTGTAATAATAAACCGTGAGCGCCATTACAGTTGACATTACTGCGATGCATTAAAATTTTTATAGTAAAGATAAAATATTAAAACGACCTTGACGCAATCCCGTGTAATAACAAAATCCAAATTGTTGAGTTAAAATGATGTAATCGTACCACATCATGATTACTGCAAAACTGATCATTATCCGAGAACTTTTGAAGAATTCGAGGCAAAGACTACTCAATCAATATTATTTACATGTTCTATGCATTATTTTCACAGTAGGTCGATACTGATTTATGGAATGTGACTTAAAAGTAATATTTGAATAAGAAACGAAATCGCATAAAAAAAATCGACTACCCTAATTTATGTGTTATGTGCGCATGCTGTTTGTATAGGAATCAAATTTTTTTTATTATTTAAAAAAAAAACTCTCCACTACTTTAGTTCGTATACGTTTACTGTTAGAAGTTATTTCCCGTATGGTTATACAGTACACGCGACGATTGTTATCGATAAACGTTTTTTCGCATTTTCGTTTTCGTTCGTCGTCCGGTTTCGGGGATATTTGTGGCACAGTTACCCCGCTGCCGTATCTAAAATAGTAACACCGTTACGCGCCGAAATGTTTCTTCGAGGAATTCCGTTTACAAAAACAATATAAACATATTGTGTACACACAGTTTGTACATCAATTTAATGCCGGTACGATATTACGATGACAAGGACTTAAGGCCGGAGCAGCTTTCGTTTCTTTTTCGTTTTTATCCGCGGACCATATCCAAACAATTTAAATAAAAATTAAACGTATAACATATAATAAGAAATTCATCCCGGACTCGTTTAAGAATATTATCTGAACAATGATGAGGTGTTTTTAATACGTTTAATTAGGTCTATACAACGGACAATCTTTGTATTCCATTATTCTTCATTTTTCAAAGCGATTATAAAAAAAAAAAAAAAAACACATCTGTCATCGTTAAAGTTTAGAAGTTACAACAATGTAGTAAGTTTGGTCGAAATAAAACCAGACTGGTATAGTTTTATTGTCACAAATTCGAAGATACAGAAAAATGTATCAAAGTAAAAGTTTTTAACTCAGTTATTTTGATTTTGAACAAGAGACGCCATTTTCTTGATATTCCCGCTACTCATACAATAATAATTTCAAAAGTTTCAAAGTCTTCGGTAACTCGGTGCATTTTCGTATTTCGTAAAGTGACCCGATTATCAGAAATCGAACAACTTTAATTTTCGTATAAATGTAATATCATTGTGAGCGTGTATTGCTTCTTACATCGGTAATCTATTAATTAGGTATGCAGGAAAAATATAGCTTATTTTTACTCTTAATTGATTATTAAGTTGGGTTTTGATAAAAATTATGACAAATATCACATCCCAATTGAACACTAAATGATGGTACATATAGTATTTTGGATTGTTCGTAGCGATTACAGCGGTACAAGATCGACCGTCACACGATGGTAACACAATCGTATCTGTTTTTCCTTTTTACAAAAAAAAAAATGCAATATAATTAAGCTTTAAAAAATAGTATGAATGTACCCGATTTACCTTTTAAACTTTATAAAATATAAGGCGATTGCGCTAAAGAAAATAAGAAAATATAGGTTTTGTTCTTTTATTGATTTTCGAATACTGTTTAAAAATAGTAACATATGACATATTACTCTTTCATAGTTAATATTTTATTTTTTATTTATTTTTAATAAATATTTTTTTTCAATATGACAAATTGTATATGTTTTTTCCAAATATCAAAATTATGTCCTTTAAGTTTAATATAGGTCAACTTAGTGAGTTTAGAAAAATCCAAAGCTATCAAAGTAATTTATTAAAACAATACCATTCAATGTCAATAAGTCTTGTATAAAATATTTTTTCAACCTCGGTTTTTTACCAGAAAATTTAATCTGTGATTCCTTTTCATGCTTAATAGAAAATGTTATATATTTTATTATGAAACTTTCGATAATTTATTATATATCTTCAGTGAAACTCAATAAAATAAAACAAATACCGAAAATATTAAGAAAACAAATTCAAATAATGCAAAGTTTGACAAAATTAGAATATAATTAAATACAAGAAAATTGCATTGTAATAGAACAATATTTTATGCCATTTTATTGGGTTATTTGAAAATTTTTACAGTGACAATATTTAAATTTCATATAGTTATATCAATTTGTGTTTTTACTAGTAGAAAAGTCAATCGGACGAAATTACGCTTGTTTTTAGAACGCAGTCATATTGCTTTTTTTGCAGGATAAAATATTTAATGGACATAACCGTGTTGCAAAACAGATAGTTGGAAATATTATTACGGAAGAGAGGACGTATACTCGTTGTATGTATTATGTCGAATTCATAAAATGGCCAATTTCAACTAACGACATCGTATGAGTATTCACGTATTCGGCAACTGCAAGGATATAAAACCGCAGATTGGACGAAATGCTTGAAAAAAATTCTGGCCAATCCATAGAGACGGTGGTTATATTTTTTCTATTTCATGAAATCGGGTGGATCGTACTGCCAAATTCACGTGTTTCAAAAACGGCGTAGTTGATTAATTAAATCGGCAATTTCACGAATTGGGTGTAACAAGCACAAGATACAACAATGTTAAGATTTTCTACTAACAGACATCTGTCGCATAACGAATGGGCTACGCTTTTAACGCCGTTGTAAAACGTGATTACAATACGGTTTATCGATTACGTTTCGCAAGTTCGAACAATGGACGGTCAGCAGACTAATAAATAGCTTTTAATTGGTTTCGAGAAAATCATCAAATCGTTTCTTTTCCTTTAGATGTCTACGAGTGGAAACGAACACAGTCTTGGCCGACAAAGTAGATTTGCGCCGGAGAAGAATCAATAATTGTTATTAATGTGTGCGCGTGCACCGTGAAATACCTGGAAAGTTCAAGCAAATCGTGGGCGGCTTCTGTTTCTTCTTTGCTCCTTTCCTTGAACAAATTCTGTTTTTGTTCCAGCTCGTAGCAATACTTCAAATAATCTGCAAAAAGAAAATGTAAAAAGTTTCAATATTTTTTTTTAAATTTTTTTAATTATATTTTTCCGACTTCGGTTTATTAAAATATTTCCGCCGAAAAAGTTGTAACGACGAACGTGTGTTCGGAATTATTATGCACGGACTATTGTACGAAAGTTTGAAATGCTTTAATAATTGGAACACTGTATATACGTGGCAAGGATAGTAAACATATTTGACCTTGGAACGGACGAGTTTTAACCATAACATAATTGTACATACAGGAGAATCAACCAACCATAGTTTGTAATCTAAACGAACCTTTCAAGGTCTAATAAAAAAAAATTACAAAATTGATTTATAATATTTATATATAATAAAATAAATGTCGATCGGTCGCAACAGACGCTTAATTGTAATGAATAGTACCGTCGATTGTCAAATACAACAATCGGCCGTTCTATTATGAGTTTACTGATTTCCGTAAGACAAATGCTGATTTTACCGCCAACGTTGAGAATTAATAATTATATCAGTAGTTGAAAATTGATAGTTCAGTCAGAAAACATAAACATTTACAATTATTGAATGCAATGAATACAATTTACAGTCCAGTTGGTGAAAATGTTATTTATTTTCCTAAATTAAATTAAAAGGTTATTAAGTGAATATCATAAAATATATTATATTATGTTTGATGCGAAACAGTATTTAATGATTTGATAATGTTTTAAAAACCTTTTTTTTTATCTCCCAATATTTAATGTTTCGTTCTATAGGTTTCTCAAAAAGAACGCAGGATTTAAATCTGCTATAAATTAAATTTATTTCTTATAAAAAAACGTAACAAATATATCATTCTCTTAGGAAAAAGTTAAGGTTTAACAGTAAAAAACAATATCAGGCACATTACCCTCTCTACTAACCCTACAGGCGATTATTCTTTCTATAAAATTTGGCATCACTCGATCACACATTGCTCCATTAAGTTCGTTGAGAACACGACGAATTTCTTGCTTAAATTTCAAGACATTTCGAACTTCGTTCTGGTAAACTCTTGACTAAGTGTATCCCCAAAATAAAAAAATTACACGGCGTCAAATCGTAAGATCGAAGTGGGTAGCTTTGATCTCTATGCAACGAGATTAGTCTGACTAGAAACTTTTCACGCAGCCGAGTGATTTTTTCTCTTGAAGTTTGACAAGTTGAAACCAAATATTTTTAATATTTATTTGATCCAAATAAGGACAAAGAAAATTACTGAGCTCATTAGGTATTCTTTTATGATTACAACAGGATGGCGCAGATTGTTACACTTCAGGAGAAACAATCCCTCTGCTGCGTGAGAAGTTCCCGGACAGACTAATCTCGTTGCGTGACCATAATCATATACCCGATATTTTTTTTACTGTTAAACCTTAAGTTCTCCCAAAGAGAATGATACATTTAAAATGTTTTTTTTTTTTTTTTTTAAAGAAATATATTTAATTTATAGCAGATTTAAATCCTGCGTTATTTTTAAAATATCCTATATTATAATTTGATTCACAATGATATTGTACGCAAACACATGACAATAAAACTCTACTGAAAGTGAGTTACAAAATACATTTCATATTTCAGTTTATATTCAAAACTAAAAGTCGATTAAAAACTGATTAAGAAACATCGATAACTGACAGTAATTTAATTTCAAATCAGTCGGTTGTGAAAATACGCAAAGGTTTGCCGCAAATGTCATAGTTTGAAATATTTTTAATTAATATTTAATTAAAAATATTTTTCATAACTGATACTATCCAAAAATAAACAGTAGTTTAAAATAATTTGGTATAATTTTTCGAATAATGCTTTTAATTTTTATATATCGTAGTAAATAATATGAAGCTTAATTGCAACATTAAATAGCCGATTTTGATGTGTGTATTTTTTTCAATGATTTCGTTCTGGCACGCCGGTTTGGATAAAATTTAAGTTTCAAACACGACATTATTTTTATGTTCACCGTCCCTGGCATAGTCATTAAGTGAATTTATGAAATTCCTACATTCACGATGACTTACATACGCACAATGGTGTATACGATGACACGCGTTCGTTAGAAATTGCAGGGACATGACGTTGACGGTGGCTGCGTAAATGACGATCGCGTATACAGTAATACGGTCACGCTCCGGTCGCGCACGCCGTGTCGACTTCCATATCGTTTTGCGAAATATTTAACAAGCGTATGAAGGGTCACTCGCATAGAACCACTCGTACATATTATATATATAGATAAATGTGCAACGATAAAATTGCCTGTTGGAAGAAAAAAAAATAACCACGGTGACTTAAAACCGTATTTATAAATATATATCTATATATTTTTTTTTACTCGCAGCCGACGGGTGAGTAGAACCAAAAGGACGGACGTGACGAATTCGCGTGTTGATTCAGTGGCAACCTGTGGCAGTGACCCTTTACAGTCCCTGATCGGGGGGTGCGGTAGATGGTTTAATACGTTACACACCCTCGTGAAACGTGGACGCACGTCAAACGCGAACCCTGAAGCTAACAAGCTGCGGTGGCGGTGGTGTGAGCGCATTACGAATGGTAATAGCAATAAAAGAGTGCAAGCGCGAATCTCCGGGGACAAAGCCCATGGACGGATGTACCGTTATAATATCGGTGTATAACTACACACGATACGATAAGAACGTGTCTCGTCATACGACGTGTTTTGGCGGCAACAATTGGACGGCTCTTGCAGGAAAAATTGTCAGGGAAAATGTGTGTTCGTGACTGAAAACTCCGGAAGCGGTACGGCTTCGAACACCCCTCTAAGATCCATTGATTATGGCGCAGCTATCGTTTTACCGCTGTTGCACAACGAAAATTATTTCTGCGGGCCGTGGCTATAAACACTCGTCGAGCGCAAGCACACAAGCGGTTTTATGGAAGAACAGGAAAAAACGATCATCCTAACCCCGTGCCTTTACATTATACTACAATATCGTTCGTCTGGTCAAGATGCGTTAAAACGTTATCCGCTTAAGTTTTCCGCCGAGGCTATCAATGTCATCGAATGAGATGGTAGTCTTGCACGTGTCACCTGTTATCCTCACGATACCGAACTGAACTACTCCATTCTTGCACTCCGCTAATGAGCTTTCATATGCGCTTTCGTTATTGCTCGAGAAGTTTTCGCGGAGGATGTAAACAACACACACCGCGCTCTATACCTGAAGCGTTTTCCGACGTTCAGATTTCCAACAGTCTGGAATAGTGATATTTAAAATGTATAGTAAATATTGCGGTTTCACGTGTCCAGTATATGACCAGAAAAAAAAAAATAGAAAAAAATGTATCGATATTATATTTTGAGTTTGATTGTTGTTGAAAAACCACGTAGTGGACGTAGAATAAAAAAAAACGTTTCGAAACATTGATCTATAAAAACATACGCGTGTACATGAATACCAACACACACATATACAAACATACATATATGTATAGTTGTGTGTGTGTGTGTGTGTGTGTGTGTGTGTGTATAGAATACATGTGAATCATATGGCTGAATACTATATTTATTCTAAACGTACGCGCTTGAAAAGCGATCGGGAACCGGAGAAAAACCAATTTCGTCGGGCTGCCACTGCCGTCACATCTAACGCGTGCAAGACAAATGCGAAACGTTAAAATATCGCCAAGAGGTTAGAGGGGAAGAAGCTTGTCGCCGCTGCCTCCACCGATTGCAGACGGTGTGCCTTTTCCTTGGACCGACGTGCCACCAGGGTACGTGCTTTTTCCGCGTCAAAATTAAAATGCCTCCTCCCGGGCACTGCGGTCGGTTGGTCGTTTGTCACACACGCTCGCACGCATTCCCCGTCCAAAAACGACTCTTCCCCGCAAACGTTTTCGCTTCGCCGTTGAAATACAACCGTATCGCGTGCGCGATACATTACAACGATTATTATTACGAAACGGTTATGTAATATCAGACGAATGTATCGAAAGTTTTTACTTTTCCTCGCAACGTCGAGCATAGTCGATCTGTACTTGTCCTGTCTTCGCGCGTATACGTTTCCCACACGCGTTTCGAGGTTTTTTCCGAATGTCTTGTAATCGGAAAACCATCAGAAAGACGCGACCATCGTATTCCTATGGCATTGAACGGTTACCGTTTTTACACGACCGTTTTAGCTGCAGCGGAGCTATGGCAAACGAACGCGTTGACCAATACGATTCCGAAGAAGCACACCGAAATAGAGTTCGTTTCGCGAACGGAACAAACTGCGTTCCAACTGCGTACGGGAGAGATGACGGTCGGTTGTAAACATAAGAATCCCGATGGTACATACACCCTAGAGGACCGCGGAAAACGAAGTCGTTTTGTTTAATCGTTGTTGCGTACTCCGTGCGCAGTACGATTATACGAATTTCAGTTGATAAAATTCCCACAGATTGTATTGTTTATGCGTATTTACTTCTAACAACACGCCGCTGGTACGTTAAGAATAACATTGTTAACATCGGGGCAAATTAAATTTCAAACTCAACTCTGATCCAAGAATATTAATTCTATTCCGTCCAATTAAATGTCTACGCGATAACATCGTTCACATAAAGGGAATTCGGTTTTCCACTCAACTGAACATTAACGTCTCTACCATTGTTACTTCTACTATGTATAAACGCAACGGCGATTGTTTGGTCATACATAAAAACGGTCTCACAATTCGCGGAACGAAAAATAATACAAAATAACAAATAACGCGAAATAATAATAAAAACCGACTGTATTTGTATACGTACGCCCGTACGTATTATATTATAAGTGTACTTTATCGGCCTAAGAGGAAAATCCGTTTTCCTTTTTTCTAAGAACGTCTTGTTCCGGAATATTTCTTTTATGTGTTGCTTGGTCGGCGTCCCGTCGAGAATTTTCGTTTCCACCGAAACGGGATGGTTCCGCGAAGTAAAAAAAAATCTCTATAAAACATTATAATACCGCCAAACTTATTTCATCAACCGAACGGGGA